CGTGCTCACCTGCTTGCCTGGAACATCTTAATACCTCTAAAGACACACACACCACCACCACCACCACGGCCGCCGCCGCCACCACCACCACACCACACCGTGTATTGTGTGACATGTGTGTTATATCTATATATTTTTATCTCCCAAAGCTATATATAATGTATTTAAATATGAAAGGCCAGGTTGAAGTTTTGAAAAATAAAGATGGCCAGTTTGGTCATTTTTTTTTTCCTGAGGGAAGTAAGATTATTGACTGCCGATCTATAAGCTTCATGCTTTTTAGGTATTGGTTGATATGTGTCTCACTATTTTCCTTCCCTGATCTGCCCCTGGGGCTCCTTCCTTTGTGGCACAGATTGGAATGTTTGCTCCTGTGCACCTTAGGGCCATGAAACCAAAGTCATAATTATTCAGATCATGTGCAAAGGGTTTTGGGGAGATATATAGATTCATATGTCAAATATAAAAGTAATTTTAGTTTACTTTTAAAAACTAGAAAATTGATTAACACTGACCATTTTAGTTCTCAAAACCTATAAAGGTCCTTTTTCTTGCTCCAAGATTTTTTTAATTTACTTATCTCTGTTGTATTAGTGTTTTGCCTGTATGTAATCTGTGCACCACATACATGTCTGGTGTCTGTGGAGGTCAAAGGAGGATATTGGATCTCCTGGAACTGGACTTATAGTCAATTATAAGCCACCATGTGGGTGCTGGGAATTGAACCTGGTCCTCTGGAGGAGCAGTCACTGCTCTTAACCATTGACCCATCTCTAACTCCCAGGAGATCTTTAAAGATAATTTTTACTTGATTTTACCAGGATCAGATGCTCCAAGGATTGGGGCATGGGCACAAAATGTGATTGTCCCTTCTTAGTGTTTGCCTTGTGGTATTTTCTTTTTAATAAGCCAATATGATAATTTTCCCTTAGCATGAGTTGTATATGTATGGGGAGCAGGATTTTCCTATCATAAAAATCACATGTTTACCCTTTGGGTACCAAACATTTTATTAGATGATTCCTTTGTGAGCATGAAATGCCACAGTATTTTGCTAATACATATGCAATATGAACGAACATTTTCAGAGCTGGACTCTTGAGTTGAAGGTTTAAAAAAAAGAAAAACTTAGGGTTTCTGTGACATGATCATTAAACGGTTATAAATTCTGCTTATTATATATGTGTTTAGAGTAAATCTTCCACAGTGATTTATAAAGTCTAAATATAAAATGAAGAACTTACTTCAAATATTCTAAAATAAAATGCTTACTTCAAATTTAACCATGTTCTAGTTTATACAGATGCTTTAATTTCAAAGGGACAGTGCCAAGATAAAAAAGTGATAAGGAAAGAGAATATTTTAAAATCTTTTGTTTTAATGTATATTATCTAGTTTTGCTCTACATGGAATAAAAAAGTCTGCTGATGGAAATTATGAATCTAATGTCTAAGAACCTGCTTACCACTAGTCAGGTATGAAAAATTAAAGAGGAAAATAGTGTCGGCAAACTACCTAAGACTTCCTGATTGGCAGGTCTTCCTGAGCCTCATTCAGTAGAGTACTTAACAGGATGCAGTCTTTGTAGGGCCTCTCATGCGCCAAGCAGAGAAAATTGCTGATTTGTGCTTAATAAGCCAAATATGCACATATTATTTTAATTATATAAAGCAAGGTTCTAAATTTAGCTTCAATAGTGAAGTCTTTACCTTTATCAACCATGAGAAGGCAAGAATTCAGAATGTGAGGCAACTAGAGAAATCCAGAATAAAATATTCTTTAAATTAATGAAAAACAGCAACCACCACCATCACTATCACCACCATCACTTTAGATATAACAAAAATTTCAAAGAAAAAAATTCCATTCTGCTGTGACCAGGATAATTAAGGAGAACAAAGTTTGACAAATGGTTACTTATCTACCAGATGTCCACTAAGTCTCTAAAAAATTTAGAAAAGGGATCTTGTGATTCTAATGTCAAAATTCTCTTGATAGAACCATCATTATGGAAGAAAGGTGAGTCCACGAGGCTTGGTGTGTGGGTGGTATGTCTATCATACCAGCAGGTGGGAGGTTGAGGAAGGACAACAGTGAGTTTGAAGCTGGCCTGAGCTATCTAATTAGACCTCTCCCCCAAAATGAAGCCAACTCACTTCCCCAAATCCATACTCAAGACATTATATTACTGGGTGGTTACTGTCAGTTAGCACATATCAAAGAAAACAGAACTTTTTTTGGTCTTTTAAGAGAGGGTTTCTCTGTATGGCCCTAGTTGTCCTGGAACTCACTCTGTAGCCCAGGCTGGCCTCGAACTCCCAGAGATCCACTTGTCTGTGCCTCCTGTGTGCTGGGATTAAAAGCGTGTGCCACCACTGCCTGGCGAAAACAAATCTTAAAATACAATAAGGAACATTTCTTGGTGAGCATTATCATTTCTGCATTCTATAAAACCTGGAAAGTAGGGCTGGAGAGATGGCTCAGTGGTTAAGAGCATTGCCTGCTCTTCCAAAGGTCCTGAGTTCAATTCCCAACAACCACATGGTGGCTCACAACCATCTGTAATAAGGTCTGGTGCCCTCTTCTGGCCTTCAGCATACACACAGATAGACTATTGTATACATAATAAATAATAAATAAATATTTTAAAAAAACCCTGGAAAGCAGTTGTATAAAGGGGTAGCAGAGAACACAACACATAATATGGGAAATAAGATGGACAAAGGCGAGTTCATGCCAGTCTATACTCATGCTCTGCTGAAAGCGCATGCAAACGAGCACAGCCCAGCAAAGTTCTTGGCTTCATAATTTCAACTAAGAAGACAGTAGTTAAGCAGCCATGAAAATCAGACACATTTTTGTTGTGGACCAAAAGGAAACAAAGCATGCTTTAAAAATAGCTCTTTGTTCCTTTTGGAGGCCTTCTGTTTAATTTCCATGACTTTGGGTATTTCAGGTATCTTGCAGTTTCACAGGTACAACAATCATGCGGAAACAAATGCGCCATAAGTCACTACATACATACACGATTGATAGAAATCTTTTACTTCTTCAGACAAATTTCCTTGCTTTCTAGCAAATGGGGAAGTAATATGAGGATAGAGAGAAAAAAATCCAATTATAATTGACCTGCCATAAGGAATTCTCATTTAAATGAAATTGCCATTTAAATGAAAACTTTTCTGTAAAATAAATTGTAATTTTGAAAGATAAAAAAGTTAGATGCTGGGTTTATTAGGGCAAATTTTGTTCACATACTGCCTGGAGGCCCTTTTTAGAAGTTGGATAAGATGAATGTTACTTATAAAGTTATATATCTCATTGGACATATGAATTATATCCACATTAGGGGAGGCTTGCCTTAACATAAATATATCTTTGTGACCATCATCCTCCATTTTATACTCTTATCTCCATAAAGTTGGTACCAGTATTTTTTATATTTTTATTCTTTTTGTTTTAAAAAAAAACATACTATCTTTTTTTCATTTCACATATACCAATCCCAGTTCCCACTCCCTCCCCTCCTCCCCTTTCCTCTACACACCCTCCCACCCCAGCCCCCCATCCACTCCTCAGAGAGGGTAAGGCACATTGCTTTGGGGAAGGTCCAAGACCTCCCTACTATATCTAGGCTGAGCAAGGTATCCCTGCAAAGAGAGTAATTCCCCAGAAGCCAGTACAAGCAATAGGATAAATCCTGGTGCCACTGCCAGTGGCCCTGCAGTCTGTCCCAGCCATGCAATGGTATTTGTTTTTAACTGAAGAGGGAAATCAATGCCACTTAAACCAAGAATCTTCTTCATTCAAGCCTCAGTCATTTGGTTCTCATTATAATTTTCTAGTAAACTAGCTGATCTTTCTCCTCTACTTCCACCTTCCTCCCTTAATCAAGCATTTTACAGGCTGAGAACAGAATTATAATTGCCAAACGTTAGAGTAGCATACAATAGTGCTTTAAGGTTGCATATATGAAAGAATTTGACAAATGTCATCCAACAGGTAAAAACTGAGAGGCTCAAAATGTAGGTTTTCAGATTTTTGTTTCTTTCCTCTACGTCCATCACCTTCCCCAAATTAAACCTGGTCGACCACTTCAAGGTCCTAACACCAAGCCAGGAATTAGCATGAAAACAGCTTCTGCCTCCCCAACGACCAAAAGTTTGAAAGCCTCTGCCCAAGACTAAGGATCTCAAAATAGCCTTCTTTGGATTCTTCAGACATGGACCCGTTTTAAATTTTTAAAATTAAGAACTGTGGGAGGATGGGTTAGGAAGGAACTTCCTTCTGTTTAATTGGTTTGATTTACACATCTTTGAAAGAAGAGGCAGTGCCAAACTCACTGGAGAGAAACGTGTGCTTAACAGAAACAGAAGTACCAAGGACTGAAAATTTGAAGATATATATCAAAAGATGCAAAATTGGGAGAGGTGAGTAATTCTAAGGGTTTACTCCACTTCCCCAGCATCAAGCATCCCCACGCCCTGACCCAAATCTCACTTGAAGCCGCTCTCTCAGTTGGGGAATTTCATTCTCCTTAAGATTCCCACGTCCTCACAATGCCACCCCGCCCCACCACCACCCCGGGCACTCACTCCCCAGGGTGGTGATTATTTGTGTATGTTTTGAAAAAAGTTAAGCTCACAATCGCGAACACGCTCCCACAGCTGGTCTTAAAGGGACTAGTCAAGCTAGCTGACACTAGCCGCCAGCCCCCTCCCCCATGGGGAGCAACCTCCCCCCAGGTACTGGATTCCTCCTTAGCTGTCCCCCATCCCCGGTCCGACCCAAAGAACAACTGTTAGTCCAGGGCAGTACAGTCGGGACTCTGTGGTAGCGGCAGAAAGGTGGTAGCGGGAGCAGAGTCCCCGGTCCGTTGCCGCGGGTTTAGGACAAGACGGCGGGCGGCAACGCGGGTGGTTCGCCTCACCACCTTTTAAGTGACCGTGGGCACAGTCTAACTCAGGTGTAGCCGGCCGCAACTGCTGGCCGCCACTTACCTGTAAGTCCCCCTCCGCCTTCTTCCCCGTAGCCTCGACGCCTTTGCAGGACAAAGTACTCGTTGGATCTTTCCATCAGCCACAGCTTCAGCGCATTTTTCAACAGCACTTCCTCGGGCTTCAGCCACATCTCGAAGAACTTTGTGCCGCCTCAGGAGCGGCGACCTATTTGTCCTCCTTACCTCTCCCCTCCCAGCCTGTCTTCACCCCTCTACTTCTCCTCCCACCAAATCTGCCTTTGGCGGCGGCGCCTCGGGAGGTTTGCCTCTCTCCCCCCCCCCCCAACCCTGCCTTCCCTCCCACGTAGGCAGAGAGAGTGCCAACTCCCTCCCACGGAGCAACCGCCAGACTGGGAAATAGTCCCGCTTCGTCTCCTCTTGGGAGTTGTAGTTTTATACCCGTTTTCCTGCACCCTTTCGATTTTAGCTCGAGACTACATTTCCCGCAATGCATTGGAGTAAGAGTTGGGTGGGTGGGGGACGCCTTCGAAGCGGTCCCGCCACCAGTTAAGTGAGTTTTGCCTGTAGTGTAAAGTTAAAGACGTTTTTGCTCCAAATAGGCTAACCCAGGGTATGATAGCAATGCTTCTAGTTGTTTTATAGTGAGAGGACTAATTTGTTGAAAACAAAGTTTCCGGCATTTTTGAGTAATGTCCCATCCAGGAAGCAATAGCCTGCCGCAACTTGCGTTTAATCAGCGCCAACTCGGTAGCAGGTGATTTCTCAGGTAACTCTCCCTGAAGTCTTTACAAGTAGATCCTCCACTGCGCTCGCTAATAAATGGAAAGCGCTAGAAAGTGAAGTGACTTATCCAAGGTCTCACAGTTGGTAATAAGATTCATTGTTCAAAATTCTTGCCTAAATTAAGTTCTTTTCGCTCATAATGGAAAATTAGAAAACTCCGAAACCACATACTGTTTTCACACCTTGCAACTCTCCCTTACCCCATGCCGCCTCTGTTTATTTACTAGTATAAACGATGCAAAATCTAACATTTTAGGTATTCAAACTACTTATGAGGGTATTTTCTTTTCTTACACTGCTTAAAGAAAAACAAAATTCCTTGTAGGGCAGCCTTCATTTCTTGGTATCTTGGCAATGTTGCACAGCTACTTACATGCTAAGATGAAAGAGGTCTTCTGGGAGGAATTATTTGAGGGCTGTTTTTATTTGTCAAGCTAACTCAATCCCTGGAGCTAAAGAATAGACTGAGAGTAAAACAGGCTTACAGAAAGAATTCCGATAAAGGATCAGACAAGTTGACAAAGTATCCAAAATGAAGATATATGGCCATGTGGCCAAAACTATGGGGTGGGACACACTCATACTAGGAGTCCTGCAACTACTGAACTCTTTGCCTTGAAGGAGTGTGTTCAGGTTAAATCTTCGGAGATGCTGGCTGTCACAGAAAGTTCTTGTGGATGACAAACAACAGCAAAACCCTCTAAACAACAAGGACCACAACAAAACCAGCCCCCAAAACAGGACAATCCAAAAGGCAATAGGTAGTGGAGCAGCTCTCTTCAGAGGAGGAGGCAACCCTCCTAGAGCCTGGATATGATGTGTTTCCTAGTGCAAAGTCATCCAAGCTTGAGGTGTATTAAGTACACCATTTCTCACTCTCTTCACAGTGAAAGAGCAATACATGCAGCAAATGTAGACACCTCTTGTCTTCCTTCATTTGCACAGTTCCGCCCCCCCTTTTAATTTCGATTGTCAGTCAGTACCCTTATGGTTATAGTTATGGCAAGGAGCATCAGAATGGATGGCTCCTTTATCCTACTCTGAACCCAAGCAGGGCCACTCAGAAGCTCCGCTATAAGATCAGGCCCTTTACATCTCAGAGCAGAGAATTTAGAACCCTTTTGGCTTTTGTAAACAAACATTTCGCTGATTATGTAAACTAAACAGTTTTCAAGTTAAATTATGTATATCATGTAAAAATTTTTCTTGATCATAATCTACTTCAAGTCTTTGCAAATAAGTGTTTCTCTAAAAGAACATTAAGAATAGAACGGGGTTCTATTTGCTGTTCAGTTGTGTGTGTTACTGTAAATTACTTTAGGATTACAAACGATCTCGACTATCCCTGCTAGTATTGTCCTGGCACTTAATGTACAGTATGCCATGTTTTAAAATAACCCTATGCTTTTTCTTGTTTATAAGTGCAGTTTCAGAGAAATTGTTAGTTTCCTGAGTCCTCACATCTAAACAAATGGCAGAGTTGGGATCTGAGCCTGTATTTATGACTATAGACCAAAACACTATATTGTCTATGAGTATGGTCCGTAGATACAAAAGCAATGTATCCAGATGCTAAACTCACTTCTCCAAATTCCCCCAGTCTAATACTCTCATAGTTTGAAACACTACTGTTTACCAAGATGTTAAGCTGAAAACTTTGGAATAAGCTTAGGTTTCTTATATTTTTGGTTGTGAGCCTAGCCTTTAACGGCTGAGCCATTTCTCCAGCCCAAGCTTAGGTTTCTTTCTCTACCTTTCGTCCCACCTCCATTTGCGTCTCTCTCTCTGTGTTTCTCTGCACAATATTTTTAAAAATCTGTCTTGTTCTTCTGTGGTTTAGAGTGACTCCACATCGTGTTATTACTATACAACTTTAAAAGCATCCCAATTCATTTGTTTGCTTTCATTTTTATTTTCTGAGCTATATATTAACCCACCTAATAGCACGGCATGAGGGTATATTATCCAGAGGTCAGTCTTCTGGGTCACTGGCTCGTCTAAATAGTGGCCTCAAATACCTATGAGAAAATGTATGAGGGAAGAAACGCCCAAAACCAGTTCCAGCAACGGTGCTAGGGAAAGGCTTCCGCTGTCACTTAGTTTCTGGGCTAATCTGAAGTGACATGAGCTCTGTTTATAGAGTTTTAGTCTATAGCAGATTTGGGCACAATAAGATTCAAAGTGTGAATATTTGTCTTAGGGGACAGTCATTTAAAGTGTTGTTTCTCCAAGTGTGGATCCCAGACCAGTGTCATCTGGTCACCTGGGAGCTAGAAACTCAGACCTTCCCGCCTTACACTTGACCTGCATAACTAGAATGTATATTTGACCAAGGTTCCCTGGAAGCTTGTGGGACAATAAAGCTGTGGATGCATTGATTTAAGGTGAATGGTTATTTGAAAATCAAACTACTCCAATCTGGTGCCCATTAATCATGCTTGACGTAAACCCCACGTAGGCATCATTCATTAACCGTGTAAGCCCTTTCAACATAAGGTGGCAATATTGCTCCTTTAAAAAAAGGTTCTGTTAGTACCTGCTCATTAAGGTTTTCTGGGACAATGGTTCAAAACTGGGATATCAGTTGGAGTTACAGCTAAAAAGGGAACTTGCTGTTAATCAGCCATAAACATTTCTATGCTTTTAAACACCAAGAACTATACCCATGAGTGCTTCCCATTTATGAAACTTTTTGCATGTTAAAAAAAATGTGAGGACTAGAGAGATTGCTCAGTGGTAAGTGCTTACTGTGTTAATCAAGAGGACCTGAATAAAAAGCCTAGAGCATCTATCCACTCGTATAAACACAGTGCTGGGGTCAGGGACAGAGACAGGGTGACTGCCACCCTAGCTCTGGGTTCAATGACAGACCTGTGTCAAGGGACTAAACCAAAGAGTGACAGAGCAGGGCACCTGATGTCTTCTCTAGCTTTTGTGCATTCCTTTATGCACATACAATGCACACAATACACACACATGAACATGCACACACCATGGCACATAACACTGAAAGTTGAGGACTACTGGTTAGTACTTCCCAAACTTTTTTACTGAAGTAGCTTTGTTGGTAGAAGCTATTTCTGCAGGTCAAAGTGACCACCACAATCATTAATTTCTTTTATTCTCATGTAGTGTATTAATTGTTAGTTGTTGTGCTTATACTATAAAAATTAACTCCAAAGAAAAGTAAGCAAAAAAATAACGAGAAATTTTACAGTCTGGGTTGGTAATTCTTTAGCGAAATATTTTACAAATAAACAAGGATGAATGTATGAAGGAGATAAGGAATGTTCCTACCATTCCCGTTGTCTCTATAAATGTTTTTAGTATTTCTGATTGGGTGTGGGGTAAATGTATATTCCTAACATGGAACAACTCAAATACCACTAAACTCATACTCAGACTCCCCTATTTCTTATGTTTGCAGCTCATTGTGCAAATATTATCTACAGTTAAAAGAATTAGCCTATGTTGTGATATCATGTGAATGCATAATATAAAGTCCGAAGTTTAAGCTAAAGTATATCAAATGGTAGTATCAAGAAGTCATAGGATTCCTCTCTTTGAGGAATTCCTCCCGAAGTTACATCTAGAGAATGATTTATATGTGAATGTACATGGTAGTTCTATCCATAATGACTAAAATGGTGCAACACCCCAAGGATTCAATAACTAATAACTGGACAAACAAATGTCAGATTCTCATATGATGGCATATACTCAACAATGGAAAGGTATGAAATATTGGATGTATACACTATAATATGGGTGACGCTTGAACATATTATTCTAAGGGGAATCTAGCAACAAAGCCTTTATTGTACAATTCTGTTTGTGTGCTGTCTAAAATAGGTAAATCTATAAAGACAGAAAACAGACTGGTGAAATGCGTAAGCTGGAAATAGGAACAGGAATTTATTCTTGGCATGAGGATATGTTCTGGGATAACGCAATAAGGGTCTGAGTTCAAATCCCAGTACCTATGTTAACAAGCTGTTCATCCATTCCCCAAAAACATGAAGCACCAGCTCTGGGTGGTCTAACAACCTTTTCTGGCCACTATACTGTGCCATGCCTCACCATACATATGTAAGCCCTCACACAGACATGCTGTGGAACAACCCTTTACACTGTAAATATGTATTGCTCTCATTAATAAAAAGCTGATTGGCTGATGGCTAGGCAGGATTTTCAGGGCAGAGAGAATGCTGGGAAGAAGGAGGGCAGAGTTAGAGGAGTGCATCCAGATAGAAAGGAAGGAGGACATGCAGGAGAGGTAAAAGCCACAAGCCCCGGGGCAGCACATAGATGAATAGAAATGGGTTCATTTAAACTGTAAGAGCTAGTCTGGGCTATCGGTCAAGCATGTATAATTATCTGTGTGGTTATTTGGGAGTCAGAAAAACTCCGCCTACACAGATACATACACAAATAATTTCTCTCTAAGTTAAAAATATCTTTTTCACTGAAGCAGCATGTACAGGGCCTGCACAGGTCTGCACCAGGTCCTCTGAATATGTACTGTA